AGACCATCTTCCCCTCTGTGTCACGCATATACATACAGATATACGCCACTCTGTTCCCCTGCGTTCCCCAGGAGGGTCTCACTCCTCTGGACTACCTGGCGAGGAGCTTCAACACGACGACATCCAGGTACGTGTACATGTACACCACCGCCACCATCACTACCACCACTACCATCACTACCACCACCACCATCACCACCAACAACAACACAACACCGCTTGCAGGGTACCGGTCGGCACCAGCACCAGCACCACCAGCGGCGGTAGCGGCGGCGGCATCCTCCTCCCGCGCACTTCCGCCGGCGGAGCAACCTCCTCCCACAGCCCCCGCGGCGCCACCACCACAACCATACTCCGCGACAGGGACAGGGACAGGGACAGGGACAACTACAGCGGCGCCGGCGGGGGGCCCGCCGCACTCCGGCTTTCAGTGGATGTGGGCGGCGGAGGCGGTCAGCACGCCAAGTGGTGGGAGCACAGCGCTGACGCCGACAGCAGCGGCGCCTGGCTTGAGGACAGCAGCGGCGGCATGGGTGGCTGTACGTCGCCGGTACGACTAGTAGCCTCTGTACGACTGCTGTACATGTCTAAATACACAGCTTGGGGCGGGGGGGTGTTGTTACGGGGGGAGTGCCGGGGGGATGTGTCCCATCTACCCGCTGTGATGTCGTGGGGGGGAGGGGGGGGGGGAAGAGACCAGGGGGGACCCCCCGACTTCACTTCGCCCTATCCCACCCGGAAGATACGTCTGGACTGGCCCCGGTTGACTGGCTGGCTGGCTGGCTGGCCGGCGGAACCCAAATGCGCAATGCCAAAACCCAACACTCGCCTTTCTTGAGCTCGTGTAACAATCCTATACTTGACTTATCCTATACTTGACTTATCCTCCTCCTCCTCGCCAACCCCTGCACACGCGAATCAGCACTTCAGTAAGGCCCCTTCAAAACCCGGACCTCCGCCCCCCTTCCCCATCACTCGCTCCTCAGAGCCCCTTCGAGCGGCTGTGGCCCCCCGGGGCGCGGTCCTCCCTCGGTGGTGGCGGCCCGGGTCGCGTACATGGCGGCCGCAGCAGGAGGGCCTCAACCGGGGTACTGCCCGCACTACCGCTACCACTGCCACTGCCGGGGGTGGGGTGGGGTGGGGCGCGGGTGGGGATGGGGGTTTGGTGGCGGGGTTGAGGCTGATGCTGCTTGCTAGCGCCAAAGGGATAGCTATTTTTTGTTGTTCACCCTTAGGGGGTTGTTTGGTGGCGGTGGTAATGATAATGATGGTGGTGGTGGTGGTGGTGGTGTTGCAGGGTTCCCCCTCCCCACCCGGGCATCACCGACGTCGTCCGCCAGCAGCCACGGAGCAGTCCGCAGCCGCAGCCGCCTCATCGCCCCCAGGGGCCCTCACCCCGCGACGGAGCGCCGCCGCCGCCGCCGCCGGGGGGCAGATTCTTCCAGTGGCGATACGGCGCAGCAAGGTAACTGTGCCGTACGGTGCAACTGATGTACGGATTTGCTGCGTTCCGGTGGTGGTTGTTGCTGCTGCTGCTGCTATTGCTGGTTCATGCTGCCCGGAAGAGGCCCCTCCCGGGGCCTCTGCGGGGGATTGTATTTAGTCCCCCCCACAGCTCTCGTCCGGCCAGCTCCCGGCCAGCTCCCGGCCAGCTCCCGGCCAGCCGCCCGAGGACCGCGATACTCCTCACCCCCCACCCAACCGTTCCGCACCAAAAGCTCACCACGTACTCACCACGCACCACCTGCCCCCCTTCCCTCCCTCACCTTAACCGCGAAAGGGCTTACCGACTGTGGATACAGCGTCGGCGCCTGCTGCCGCATGCGGAGGCGGAGGCGGTCGTACAGCTGCCGCCGCTGGCGGGAGCGGCCGCGGCGTCCGTCAGTCCCTTCCCGCCCTCCCCCGCCGGTCTCCGGAGGCAGGCCCCGGTGTGCAGGTGGGGTGGGGGGGGGGTGGGGGGTGGGGGGGGGGCT